CAGACACAGGAAGTGCTTGTCGAGAGGCAGGTCGACGATCCCTCTTGTCCGGGCCGGGCAATACGGCAGCCAGACCAACAATCTGGATGCTCAATGCCATTTATCATCTTCTCTCTCTCTCTCTCTCTCTCTCTCTCTCTCTCTCTCTCTCTAACTTGCTTGACCCCATCCGTGCTGGAAGATCAAAAGTCAAAACGGACAGATGGCCACGGGGATAAAAAGTTTCTCCCAGGGGCACCTGGGTGGCTCAGTCGGTTAAGCGTCCAACTTTGGCTCAGGTCAGGATCTCGCGGTTCGTGGGTTCGAGCCCCGCGTCAGGCTCTGTGCTGACCTCTCCTAGCCCGGAGCCTGCTTCAGATTCTGTGTCTCCCTCTCTCTCTCTCTGCCCCTCCCCCAGTCGCGCTCTGTCTCTCTGTCTCCCAGGGGAGACAAAATTTTTTTTAAAAAGTTTCTCCCAGGGGCGCCTGGGTGGCGCAGTCGGTTAAGCGTCCGACTTCAGCCAGGTCACGATCTCGCGGTCCGTGAGTTCGAGCCCCGCGTCGGGCTCTGGGCTAATGGCTCGGAGCCTAGAGCCTGTCTCCGATTCTGTGTCTCCCTCTCTCTCTGCCCCTCCCCCGTTCATGCTCTGTCTCTCTCTGTCCCAAAAATAAAAAAGAAAAAAAGAAAAAAAAAAGTTTCTCCCAGGGGAGAGGGTTCCTTCAACGTGTCTTCTTGAACTAAACCACTAAAGGTGGGGAGTGTTGCCTACACTCTGTATCTTTGGATTTTGTTGCGCCCCCCCCCCCGGCATATTTTTTGGGGGCTCGGGGAGGGGGTGCGCTGTCCCCTCACTCATTCTGCCCTCTGGGCCAGTCACTGCCTGTGCATGGCACCCACACATTAATACGTTACAACACGAATTCGTCACGATGGCAATCATTGGTGCTGCCGTGCATTCAACAACTGTTTACCGAGCACCAACTGTGCGCCCCCGTGATCCAGCTATCGTGTGCCTCGGGATCTTAAAACCCTTGAGAAATCGTCTAGAAGCGGTGTCCCCTTAAGGCTGCACGACACCTCAGTGATGGTTTTTGCTGGAGAGAAATAGCCAGCTACCGAAGTGGGAGCCCCTTTGGACTCCTCAAGACTCTCACGTCCAGTCTTGGCAAATGTTCGAAGACCCAGTCCCCCTACGCCTTTGTGCTTGGTAACTAAGAGTTGCCGTGTGAATTCGTAGGTCCGTGATGGGGCTCTGCGGCTCTTATCTGACCTGCACGATTTAGGGCAGGGGCAGGTGGGTCATGTGAAAGAAGAGGAAAATACGAGCTACAAAAAAAAAAAAAAAAAGTCAAAGTAGCCAGTCCCAAAGGCTACCCATTGTATAATTCCATTTATATGAAATATGGAGACGAGGGGGGACCCCCAGAGGCAGAGAGGAGACTGGTGGTTGCCAGGGAGGGGTGACGCAGGGTGACTGCTTCACCAGGAGGGAGCTTTCCTTTTTGGGGGGATGGAAATATTCTGGAACTAGACCGCCCGGGGGGGGGGCCGCACGATAGTGTGAAGGTACTAAACACCATTAAATGACACGCTTTGAGGGGCACCTGGCTGGCTCAGTGGGCGGAGGGTGCAATTCTTGTTTTCGGGGTTCCAAGTTTGAGCCCCCAGGTCGGGTGTAGAGATTACTTACAAAAAAAAATAAATCTTAAGAAAAGGCACGCACTTTAAAATGGAAGGGGTGCCTGGGTGGCTCAGTCAGTTAAGCATCCAACCCTCGATTTCGGCGCAGGTCATGATCTTGCGGTTTGCGGGTTCGAGCCCCTCGTGGGGCTCTGTGCTGACAGCGCGGAGCCTGCCTGGGATTCTCTCCCTCCCTCTCTCTCTGCCCCTCCCCTTTCCCCACCCCCCTCAAAATAAATAAATATAGGGGCGCCTGGGTGGCGCAGTCGGTTAAGCGTCCGACTTCAGCCAGGTCACGATCTCGCGGTCCGTGAGTTCGAGCCCCGCATCAGGCTCTGGGCTGATGGCTCAGAGCCTGGAGCCTGTTTCCGATTCTGTGTCTCCCTCTCTCTCTGCTCCTCCCCCGTTCATGCTCTGTCTCTCTCTGTCCCAAAAATAAATAAACGTTGAAAAAAAAAATTTTTTTTAAATAAATAAATATATAATTTAAAACTCAGTGTAACTACATCCAGTGATAATTCCTTTTTAAAAAGTAACATATTTTCTTAAAAAAAAAAAAATAAGAAAGAAAGAAACAGGAGCACCTGGGTGGTTCAGTCGGTTAAGCGTCCGACTTCGGCTCAGGTCATGATCTCGAGGTTCGTGAGTTTGAGCCCCAAGTCGGGCTCTGCGCTGACAGCTCGGAGCCTGGAGCCTGCTTCGGATTCTGTGTCTCCCTCTCTCTGCCCTTCCCTGGCTCAATGCTGACTCCCTCTCAAAAATAAATAAACATTAAAAATTAAAAAACAACAACAACAACAATTTTAAAAGGAAGCCAGTGAATTTAAATAGAAAAAAAATTGCTTACTAAAAAAAGTAGCCAAGACTTAGTAAGCACCCTGTTGTGTACCCAGGACTGTGCATCACCTAGCCAGGCCTTCCCGAAACCCTAGGAGGGAGCCGCCAGTGTTAGCTGGGTGGTCAGCCAGGAGCCCTGAGGGGTGCAGGGTCAAGTGATGCCCCAGGGCTTCTCAGACTCTGACCACCTCCGGGGCTGCTCAGGATGTGTTCAAATGCAGATTCTAACTTGGCAGAGCTGGGTGGGGCCTGAAACTCTGCGTTCTTTTTTTTTTTTTTTTAATTTTTTAAAAATGTGTATTTATTTTTGAGAGAGAGATAGAGTGTGAGGAGGGGAGGGGCAGAGAGAGGGAGACACAGAATCCGAAGCAGGCTCCAGGCTCTGAGCTGTCAGCACAGAGCCCGACGCAGGGCTCGAACCCACCAACACCGAGATCACGACCTGAGCCGACGTCAGACGCTTCACCCACTGAGCCACCCAGGCGCCCCTGAAACTCTGCATCCTTAAAGGCTGCCGCTGGCCCAAGGCCAACACTTTGAGGGGAAGGTCTGATGCTCGGCAAAGTCAGTCAGCTTCCTCCATCAGACAGGCTTGGCCTTGCCAGAGGGGGCAGAACCCAAGAGCCCCTGCGGGTCACTGTGAAGGCAGAGACAGCTGAAAGATCCTGGAATAGAATCTTCCTCACTTGCCCCAGGTCATTAGGGGCCTCTGGTCCTGTAAGCTAACATTTCAAAAAGAATGATGAAATCAATAAGTAAAATCCTCTGCCAGGGTTTTTCCTGTCCCAGAGCTGCACTTGGCATTACTTTGCGGGTCACTTGCACAGCACTTTGTTCAATGTCAATTCCACCCTTTGTCCCTGGAACCCTGTTCCTGAGCTTTCTGTTTCCTGGGCAGCGGCGGGGGGAGCGGGCAGACACACGACAGCGCGTAGTTAAATCCGTCTTATTAAATAAACCCTCCTAGAGGAAGGATGGTATTTGCCCCTAGTGACACCTTTAGGCGTTTCTGCAAATCTCTGCGACGCGGTAAAGGAAAACAAAATTGTCAACAGGGATAAACTCAGCTACTTAAGACGTTTGCAGATCTGGGGGCCTTCCTGCAGTCTGGATTTGGGGGTGTAGGAGGGACTAGAAGCCAAGCGGGAAGGGAGGGGCCAGCATCAGTCACAGACCCCCAGCCACCCACCCCACCCCCGCCCCAACGGCGAGGGGCTTAAGACTGTCCCCGAAAGAGATGGCAAGGGTGCTGTGAAGTCGTGGACTCTGAAAAAGAATCCGGACGGAGCCGCCTGCCCAGCAGAGACCCATCCCCAGGACCCTGGCTCGGAGCTCAGGAGCCACGGGGTGCAGATAGGGGCTCCCCTCCGGTGGGTTCGGCCCCAGCTTGAGGCTGCCGCCTCCAGGAAGGCCCTCTGTCCTGTTTACATTCTATTCTGGTTCCTACTCCCGGCGCAGTCTCCCAGGGCCCCCGAAGCAGGAGCCCACCCCCCTCCACCCCCCCAGAAGGCAGGAGCCCCGCCGCCCGCTTCCCCCGCCCGCCCCCTCGGGTCGCGGCGACACGTGTCCTGCGAGGCTGCCGCTGTCAGCAGCTCGAGCAGGAGGGGAGAGGGATCCCGCTGCCAGTCTCACGTCTTGGGGAACAAAAAGCCACCCCGAGAGTCCACCGTGTCCAAAATAGAAAGGGGGAGGTTGGTCTTAGAGGGGTGACGATTGCTGTCTCCGCTTGTCATTTGGCGCAAGGGAGGGGAGAATATTAAATATTAAACACAGCAAACGGTTTCCTAAGACGAGGTAATTATTCTCAACAGCCTAAACTCCACCTGCCATCTCCCTCTTTCCAACATTCACGCTGCCCTGAGCACAGAAAACAAGGCCGGGCCACACCGGCGAAGGCAACTTTTGTTTCGGGGACCCCCCCCCAAAGACAGAGGCGATGGGGGAGGGGAAGGCGCGCGGGATCCCGAGAGCCCTGTCGCCTGTCCAGCCTGCCTGGGTCTCCACGCAGAAAGAGGCTTAATGCAGACCCGAGGGCAGCGGGGGGAGAGGGGGTGGGGGCTGAGGACACGAAAAAGTCCAATTTGGCTCAGATCCGAAACTACTCACGGGAAACCGCGCAAGCCCAGGGCCGGTGGCGAAGCCGGGAGGCGCTCCAAGGGGGGGGGGGGGGGGCTCAGGGCCGTTGACAGAAAATGGGTTTTTAAGAAAGAAATGTTCAAAGTATACGCTGGAAATCAGGGCTCTGCCCCCCGCACCTCCCGCGTGCAGAAAAACTATCCAGAAAGGGGCAGCGGTTTTTCAGCCAGAAACAAGGAAAATCTGGAGATACACTGTCTCCCCTCCACCCACCCATCCCCCCTCCCAAAAAAACACCACGATTCATAGGAAGGGGGTGAGGGAGGTCATGGCGTTTCCACCTCTGCAGACAGAGGGAAATGTTGCAGCTGCGGGAGAACGGATTCGACTCCCGGCAGGACCGGCCCCAGCGGCCCCAGCTCGCTCACCTGTATCGCATGGGCTCCGGGGCTCCGGCGGTGTAGCTAGTGAGCGGCGCAGCGCACCCGCCAGCTGTCCTGAGGGTCCCACCTTGCCAGCGCCCGGGGAGCCGAGCCAGCTGAAGCCCACGCACCCATTGCCCATCCAATGGAAAGGAGACGAGCAGAGAGACGGGGGGACGCCAGCAGCAGCCGTGTTCCGAGCCGAGGGCTCCCCACAAAGGCAGGCGCCAAGCTTGGCTGTGCCAGCTGCAGGGAGGGGGCTGGGGGGGGGGGGGCAGAAAGAGGAGGAGGTTTCCCTGATTCTGGGAGGACGGAGGGGGAGGACAAGCAGTTCATCAGCAACTGCTCATTTCCAGCCAAGCGCTCCTCGGGGACCCAGCACGGGAGGCTGGATACGCTGCGCCCCCCGCCCCTCCATTGCTCCCAAGGGAAAATTAATTTCTTGCTCTTTTCTCCAGGCCCCTCAGCAACTGGCGCCGCGCGACCTCCCAGCACGGGGCAGGGCGCTAGTTTCTAGAAGGATATGCGGTTTATCCTGCAGGCCACCTCCTTTCAAGACGGGCTTCTCTTAAGGAGCAGGGGAGAGAGGGTAACACGAGGGCTCGCTCTCTTCCTGGGGGGGAGGGGAGGGGGGTCTGCGGAGGGGGCGTGTCCAACAGGCGGGAGGCGGCGGGGATGTGGAATCACGCTCACAATTTAAGCGTCTCCCCTCCGCCAATCGCAACCTAAATTATTGATGCCCTTACAAAAACACACTCATTAGAAGACAGCTGCTGAGCCCCTCCCTGAGTCTTTTCTGTTCTTTCCCCAAACAGCTTCCCCTTCCCCACCCCCCACCCCTCCTTAGCCCGAAGGGTCGTATTCTTGGAACGGAAAGGCAGAGAGAGAAGGAAAAGGAAAACAGCCTTTCCAAGCAAAAAAAAAAAAAAAAAAAAAAAAAGCAATTGATTGCAAGTTCTGGGGTTTCGTTGCCACAGGCAAACGCTTAGGTTCCAAACACTGAGATGACCCCCAGCCTGACTCTATTTAAAGGGGGCCTCCTGTTAACCGTGAGGGTTATGTTTTTCTTCCAAGAGGCTTCTAGGGTACAGAGAGACCCCATAATTTTTCCCAAGGTAGAGTCAGAGTCGGGATATCTACCTTCCTGGGGATAGCAACACTTTTTTTTTAATTGAGGTAATTATGTCCGTTTCAGGCATACAGCATTATGATTCCATAGTTGTATAGATTGTGAATCGCATATCTAAGAATGTGGCATTGTTTAGACAGAATTGAACCTGGGCTGGATGTTAGGGAATCCGGAATTAGTGTTCGTTTGGGGGGTTTTTTTAATTTTTTTTTTTAATGTTTATTTATTTTTGAAAGAGAGAGACAGAGAGTCAGCAGGGGAGGGGCAGAGAGAGAGAGGGAGACACAGAATCCAAAGCCGGGCTCCAGGCTCTGAGCCGTCAGCACAGAGCCTGGCTCGGGGCTCAAATCCACAAACCTTGAGAGCATGACCTGAGCCGAAGTGGGACGCTTAACCCACTGAGACGCATAAATGCCCCCTATTTGTTCGTTTTTATAAAGGTCTGTTGATAGTATTTTCATCATGGTATTTTTTTTTTTTTAGGTCCTTATTTCTTAGAGATTCTTATTGAGGTGTTTATGGGTGAGGTGGGGAGTGACCCTAATGGATACAAGGTTTCCTTGGGGGGGGGGGGGGCGGGGAGATGAAAGAGTTCTGAAACCAGCCAGAGGTGGTGTCCTCAGTGGCATTGTCAATGTACTAAACTCCACAGAGCTGTTCCCTTTCAAATGGTTAATTTCATGTGACAAGAATTTCAAAAATAAAAAAAAATAAATAAACTCCAACAAAAAAGGGAAGGAAAGGCAAACAGAGCAAAATGTTGCTGAGGAAGAGGCATGCAGTGCGTGGTATTTTTTTTTTTTTTCATTGTCTTCTCTCTGCAGGGTGTGTGCTTGACATTTTCTCTTTTAGAGAGAAAAGTGGGAGGGGTGACTCAGTGGGTTGAGCTTCCGACTTCGGCTCAGGTCACGATCTCACGGTTTGTGGGTTCGAGCCCCGCATCGGGCTCTGTGCTGACACAGCTCAGAGCCTGGAGCTGCTTCAGACTCTCTTTTCTCTCAAAAAAAAAAAAAAAAAAAAAAAAAAAGATAATAAACATTAAAAAAAATTATAAAAAAAATAAAGAGGGAAGTGGGAGTGGGGCGGAGTGGGAAGAATGCAGCCATGGAGGTAGTTTGAATCGACAGAAGAGGGTGGGGGGCTCCCCTGTGGGTGAGTCCCGCCCCCAGTTCAGCAGCGAGGCCTGCAAAGCGAAAAGCACAAGCCTGGGGGCCCCCGGGGTCTGGGAGAGCAAGCTGGCCCTGCCACCTTCGATGAGCCTTGGTCTCCTCATCAGTAAAACGGGGCTCATCCTTCTGGGAATGTTGTGAGAATTGCGTGAGACCCCGTGGAAAAGTGGGGAGTGGGGGGGAAGGATACTTGCTTCTATGCATCCTAAAACCATCTCTGGAAAGCAGCTCAAGAACTAATCACAAGGGCTCTAGTGGGGGCGGGGACCCTGCTTGAGACGACAGGGGTGGAGGCGGCTTTCCCTTTTCTGTTTAGGGGGCTTGGAAACGTGTGAGTATAGCAGAGATTAAACCATTAAATTAAAAAGTGAGGTCGTGTCTGTCAACAGAGGCACCACTTTCTCTATAAACGGCCGGGTAAATACCCTAGGCTTCGTCATCACCCGGTCTCTGTGACCTACACTCAGTTCTGCCGGTAGGGGCGCCACAGACAATGTGTGAATAAGCGGCATGGCCGTGTGCCAATAAAACTTTATTTATAAAGACTGGTTACAGACTGATTTGGCCCCTTTACCTTGTGCCACATATGAAGGGCTTTTCTTCTTCTTCTTCTTCTTCTTTTTTTTTTTTTTTTTTTAAAGGGGGGGGTTTTTTTTTTTTTTTTTTTTCGTAATCTTTATTTATTTTTGAGAGAGAGAGAGAGACGAGTGTATGAGTTCGGGAGGAACAGAGACAAAGGGAGACACAGAATGCAAAGCTGTCGGCACAGAGGCCGATGCGGGGCTTGAACTCACGAACGGTGAGATCATGACCGGAGCCAAACTCCGACGCTTAACGGACTGAGCCACCCGGGCGCCCCTCAAGGGCTTTTCTAAATCCCAGGCTCTGCCACGGGTAAGCCGTGTGGCCCTGGGCAAGTCACGTAAGATTTCAAAACCAGGAGAATCATACTCGAGGGGGGTTGTTTGGAGTATATACTGAGACGTTGAGTATCAACGCGCACTGTGCACTCTAAAATGCTGTATATGTGAGATATTATTATTGTTATGCCGGAAACCGTAAGTCTGTGCAATTAGCATTGAATTTTCCTATTTTTAAATCAAACAACTTGTATGAGTCACGTCATGATGAACAGAAATAGCCATCCCGGTTTCCTTAAAAGTCCTCTGAGAATGTAAAAAAGTTCTGCTTTTTTTCCCTTACGCGAATGAGACCATCCTGAGTCAATCATCTTTTAAACCCTGGTGTCTTTTGCAAGAATTGGTGACCGTGAATAGATTTGAACAATTGGCCCCAATTATTCATGCCTTCCTGTCTCCTTATCTCTGCCACGTTCACCTCGTGGGTGACGTGTGCTTCCCCAACCCTTGGCTTTGGACTTGCTTCCGTCAATGGCACGAGGGCAAAACGCAATGAGTCGGTTCCAAGCCTGGGCTTTAAGAGGCCTCACGTGCTCCCTCCTGCCCTCTGGCGCCTCCGTCCTGGCCGTGACAACTGTCCCCGGAGGAGGAGGATGACAGCTACACGGAGCAGAGTCATCATCCAGCCAGTCCCACTCAGATTAGCCGGCTCTGGCTAACTCCCAGGTGCAAGGGGATATATGACCGTTGCTTTAAGCTCCGGAGCTTTGGGGTGTTTATGATGCAGCATTATTGCTCCGACCCACTGATCGTCTGACCCGGAAAAGAAGCACATCAAACCTATGAAATTCAAGCAGAACCAGACTGAATCTAACGGAGTCAGCCCCGTAGCCAAAGTCTGGGCCCCCACTCCACTAATTCCAAGGAGCTTTCCAATTCCGCCCACAAAATGATGCCTGAGGGGAAACATTTTAGAAAGCAACGTGCTGTGCCCATCGAATCAGAGACTTGGAGATCAGGGGTCAGCCGGCCCAGAAGGAGTTCGCAAAACGTTACATCACTTACCCCCCCCCCCCCCCCCCCCCCCCGATTGGCCGCCCCCAACAGCAAGGAAGGCTGGGGAATGTGGATTTGGGTGCACACTTGTGGCCTCTGCCACAATACGGAACGTGGTGAGATCACCTGATAAGGTTTTGGGGAGATGGGAGAGGTTCGCTAAACGCGTTTCCCCCTTCTCTCCCTGTTGAACTTTTATCTATTTTAAGTTTATTATTTTTGAGAGCGAGAACGAGGGAGTGGGGTAGGGGCAGAGAGCGAGGGAAACAGAGGGAATCCCAATCCCGACGTGGGTCTTGAACCCACGAACCGCAAGACCGCAGTCTGAGCCAAAGCCGGAGGCTTAACCGGCTGAGCCACCCAGGCGCCCCTTTAATGTTTTATTTTTGAGAGAGCACGCACGTGAACGGAGGAGGGACAGAGAGAGAGGGGGACGGAAGAGCCAAAGCAGCCTCTGCGCTGAGAGCAGCAAGCCCGATGTGGGGCTCGAACTCACAAACTGCGAGATCGCGACCTGAGCCAAAGTCAGAGGCTCAACCGACTGAGCCGCCCGGGCGCCCCTCTTTATTTTTTTTTTTTTTAATGTTTCTTTATTTATCTTGAGAGAGAGACAGAGCAAGTCAGGGAGGGGCAGAGAGAGAGGGAGAGAGAGAATCCCAAGCAGGCTCCGTGCTGTCAGCATAGAACCCGGCACGGGGCTCAGTCTCATGAACTGTGAGATGGTGACCTGAGCTGAAATCAAGAGTCAGCCGCTTAAGCTTAACCGACTGAGCCACCTGGGTGCCCCATGTGTCTCTTTACATCACAAAAAAATGCTTCCTCTCCTTCCTCCTTGAGGCAAGGAAAAAAGGGTTTTGCTGAGTGAAGATAAAGTTTGTTTATGAGGATGGGAGGGAAGCACTTGTGATTTCTAAGAGGAAAGAGGTGATGCTGTAAAGCTCCCCCCACCCCCAGGGCCAGGATCCGTGCAAACTGCAGCTTGTGTGGGACAGAGAAGAAC